CGCGTTGAAGCAATTAGCTTCTTTCTAATGTCAGTTGGTGAATGAGAAAAAGTGCTTGCCTTGCTCAAATGCTTGCATTCGAGCCTCATGAGCTTTTTTCTTGTTGAATAGAGCTTGACCTGATGCGTTCTTCACTATGCGAATTCGTGCTAGACGTGCTTTCTGAACAGAGAAGAAGCGTTTTTAGGACTTCGCTCTTAAATCATGGGAAGTGCATACCTTTTGTGCTCGTCGCTTGTCCGCACGTTGATTTTGATGATAAATTCGAGAGAAATTGCTGACAATGACTGGCACAGGGAGGGCGATGACCAACACACCAGAGAGAGAACAGATACCTCCAACTATTTTTCCCATCACTGTCGACGGGACCATATCACCGTAACCGAGTGTTGTGAGCTGAGAAAAGCGGATTGAAGTTAGTTTTAGAACATAAATAGTAAAAACAGGTAAAAGAAAGCAGCGTCTCAAGAAAATTGACTGCCCAATAGAAATATCGAGGATATCGCAGATGAGTTGCTCCAAAATGATGGATTCTTTACATAGTTGCTTCTAATACATAAAAGAAGGATAAACAACGATTATGCGGCCGCCGTATCTTAAAAAATGTCCGCTGTTCTAATCCTCTGACTATTATATAACTCTAACTTCATAAAAGCCCTCGACTTGGAAAACTCAACTTCAAAAAAGATTTTCGCAAAAAACATAATCAGTCCTTCAGTTTCTTTCCTAAAATCTTGCACAAAACCTTACTTGATAAACCTGATATCAAAGCGCAACTGCTAAACGTCTTTAAAACCTCAAAATTGCTATCAAAATATGTTTAAGATTATTTGTTTTAACGTTACATGCTCCCTCAAGCATAGATGTACTACATATGTCACATGGGCTTTGCTTAGCGAACATTACGAAGAGTTACAGCAGCGGTCTTAGCAAAGAAAAAAGTTGCACTTTTGAGTGCTTGAGGACTTTGCCGTGAAACAACAATCACCTAAGGTGTCAAATTTTTATTGCGAAAGTATCTCCTTCCCATAAAATCAAACTAGGGAGTAGTAAAATCCTGCAGGGATAATCTTGGACAAAAAATGATTTGCATCCCTATGACAGTCAAATGAAAAGTTTAAGATTAATAATTGAATTACAGCTCGATATTTGGATTGATGTAAGAAGTAAAGAGCTTTTCTCACTCAGTAATATTCTATGAAGTTACAGATTATCTTTTGAATCTACGAAATTTGACTATCCTTAAAGATACTTTATAATAATTATTTTGATAGGGGCTTAGCGTGCTTTTCTTATACTACCATAGAATACTTAGGGGTAAACTGACATGAAATTAAAAGTACGGCCTGATTCGGATTCTAATGTAGGTTTTCTTTTCGTTACTTCTACTGACACTAAAAATAGTAATGACCACTCAGTATTTTAGCTTGGAGTTTGAAACGTTTCTCACATGAATTTTTAATCATATAAGATCATTCGTTTTTTGATCACTTATGAATTTGTAATGAAAATAAATACGAGAGAGCAACGCTTAGAGAAAAAAAGGTGCAGCTTACCGTAACAATGGTGTACCAGAACGCAGCCGGAATCGAGGTGAACCTAAGAAATTGACATTCAAAACTTTGCGATTCTAATAGAGTAACTATTGCATTACCTTGTATCATTGACCTTCTTTTCAGCATAGTACATAATAGTGGCGAATATAATTATA